CCCAGCATATTATAGACATCCGTTCAAATAAGGAGATAAATCAAATGCAAAGATTCATTGTTGTGTTGGATAAGAAAGCCAAACATTTCTCCCTGAACATCACAGATACCGAGCCTGGAGACTCAGCTGTCTACTTCTGTGGAGCCAGTGCACGATGCTTCCCAGACACCTGCAGCCTGTACTCAAACCTGACACTGGGCTGAGCCCCACCTGCTTCCGTTTTTTGCAAAGACCTTCCAGTATTGCATTTTCCATATTGTTTTTTTTGCAAGTGGAAACTAGCATATAGGCATACAAAGTATATAATACATACAGTGGGTTCAAGATGACCCAGAGAGGGTCAGAACATTTTATTAGGTGATTGTTATTTGACAGATTCTTATGTTTTCTATGTTTATTGTACATATTTAGAGTATATAATGTGATGTTTTGATATATACATACATAGTGAAAATGAACATCTAGGTGAAGTGATGTGAGATGAAGAGGGAAAGGTGTGGCACAGAACTTCATGCCTACTCTGGGCTCTTCATGCCCAGGCACCCTCACATCTTCATCAATCCTAAAGCTGCACATAATGGATTCTTCCAGGGAACTAAGGATGCTTTGTTTCGCAAGCCAAGTTTTAAAGATGAATTAACATTTGCTATTTGATTCCTCTCCTATAATATCCCTTTAGTATCAGTTTCACAATCCTTGTCAGATATGGGCTACTCTTTAGAAAATTATATTTGTTATTTTTCTGATTAGTAAACACTACATGTTAAGCATAGAAAATATATGAAATATAATATATGAAATTGATTATTTGTACCCTGATAAGTATTGCTAATATTTAGTCAAAATTTGGAGATGTAATGTAAAATGTAAGGACTATAGTTAATAAAGGTATACTGTATTAAATAGATTTTTAGCTACTGTCAATTGTACAAAAAATTATGTGATAGATATGTTAATTTGTTTCAGCATATAACCACTTCACTACCTATGTGTATCCTATAATATATTATTGTAAATCTTGAATACACACAGCAAAATTAACTTAAAGAAACATATTATTTCTTTCTACTTATTTGTCTTTCTTTCTTGATAAAGTTCTATTGTTTTGTGATGATTAAATTTATTCCTAGACATTTAGTTTTTATTGCTATCTTATAATTCTTTCTTGTGTGTGTGAAAAAATTTTTATATATATCTATTAATTACCTTATTGAACTCTTACTAGTGAATTATGGAAAGAATTTGGAATAATGGTGTATTTGTTGATAACTTGCTACAGAGATTTCTGTTCTGATAGTCTTTGGTGCTCTATGTTATGCAAGGGCATGTGTGTTTCAAGAATCCTGGGTCAGTGTTTATCTTCTGTGGACTGTCTGCTTATGGAGACCCTCAGAAGAAGCTTAGTTAAAATCTTTAAAGTGAGTTATATTTTATTTCTTGTCATTTAAGTATGGATAATGTCATACTAGTTGCTAAATGCAACTGAGGGTCAATTCCTTATACTTTATCCAGTGAACTGGTAGTAAATATTTCCTAATGAGGTCATTTCCAAAGATTCAGAGTCAGAATTTTTCTGGCATTGATTTCAGATTACCAAGTCATGACTGATTAAATGAGAGGCCAGGAAAGGCAAACTGTTGGCATGTTGATAAAAGGGTTTATCGTGTTTTCTAAGAAAGTATGGAGTATGGATGGTTTGGGAGTCACAAGTGTCTAGACATGGCCAGTTCACAGCAAGACAACATATGACTTTGTGTGGGGGAAGACTGCAGGCCCAGGGGAGCCAAGGGTAACCACAGTTCATAGACCACAGGACTTCAGGGGTATCTCATACAGCAATAAATGGGCAAATGAATGGACAGACACTTTTCAAAAGAAGTAGGAATGACCAGAAATTACATAAAAAATATAAACACCTTTAGCTACCAGGGAAATTCAATTCAAAATTACACTGACATTCCATCTTACCCTTGTAAGGATGGCAATCATCAAGATTACAAAAACAAATCCTAGTGGCTCAGGAGGCAGAGGTAGGAGGACTGCAAGTTCAAAGTCAGTCTTAGCAAATTAGAGAGGCTCTAAGCAACTTAGTGAGACCCTGTTTCAAAATAAAAAATCATAAAAAATATTTTAAAAAGTGCTGGGAACATGACTCAGTGGTTAAGCATCCCTGAGTTCAATCCCTGGCACCATCCACCCATCCCCCAAATAAAAAAACAACAACAGTAAATGTTGGTGAGAATGTGAAGAAAAGGGACACACTATTGGTGGGAATGTAAATTAGTACAGGTGCTATGAAGATCACTATGGAGGTTCCTCAAGAAACTAAAAATAGAACTACCATGTGATCTACCTATACCACTCCTGAGTGTTTAGTGAAAGAACTAAAGTTATCATACCATACAGATACCTGCATAACTATTTTTATTACACCATAATTTATAGTAGCCAAGTTATGGAATCAGCCTAGGTGCCCATCAATGGATGGATGGATAAAGAAAATGTGGTATACATACACAATGGAGCATCAGCTATAAGGAATAATGAAATCATATAATTTGCAGGAAAATGGATGGAACTGGAGATCATCATGTTAGATGGAATACACCAGACTCAAAGAAAAGTATTTCATACTTTCTCTCATGTGTGGAATATAGACAGAAAAGAGATGAATTAGAAAAGAGGAAGAGGATCTGAGGAGGAGAGGGTAAGAGAGAATAATAGGGAGTGGATATAATCAACATATGTTTTTTGCTTGTAAGAATATGCCACAATGAAACACACTAATCTGTATAATTAAAATGCACTAAAAGATGCCTGATACTATATTAATGCCAGTTTTAATAATCCATTTGTTGTTTCCAAATTTTCAGAGGATAGTGAGGTGATTAAAAAAAAAAAGTGTAGTTCCTGAGTGAGGGCAAAGCCTTGCATAAAGGTACCAGAAAACTATGCTTCATATGACTTGAAGTGTCACAGGCAGGGAACACAAAGTCAAATTGATTTTTGTATATCACAAGTTCTGTGGCTTTCCAACAGGAGAGTGCCTCAACTCATGTAGAAAATAAGATTCTATACTCATAAACCATACAGGGAATGCAATTTTTTAATATCCTTTGAGAGATATTTAAATGGTTCCACAGGATTGTATTCTTTTTTAAATTTTTTTGGTTTGTTCTAATTAGTTATACATGACAGCAGAATGCATTTTGGTTCATTGTATACAAATGGAGCACAGTTTTCATTTTTCTGGTAGTATGTGATGTAGAGTTGCCCCATATGTACCTAGGGTAATGATGTCCATCTCATTCCACCATCTTTCCTACCCCATGTCCCTTCCCTCCCTTCCCTTTGCCCAAAGTTCCTCCATATTCCCATGACCTGCCCCCCCCAACTTGTTATTCTTGTTAGTGTCCCATCTTTACAGTTTTTTATGGATTTTTTTTTTGGTCCTAGGCAAGGCATGAGAATGTTTTCCTAAAAATGTTCATTTAATGTTGCACCCAACATGTCCCTACTGTGATGTGTTGTCTCTGGGGGCTTAAGCAAGCAATCACTGGCGATCAGTTGGCTCTTCCAGGGTCTTTCTGGCTTTGGTAATATCTTCTCTTCATTGATAAACTAATCAGTCTTTTCTAGTGTTTCTTTACAAACATGGGAACCAAATTTTCTGGATCTGATATGAAAATTTAGAGCTTTTCCATGGATCTTTCTTTATGTTGTATAAGAGATTTTTGCATAAGGACTTCAGTCAGAAAGGCATGTTTAATTTAGCATAATCATTTGCATAAGTGTTTACCATCCCCCTTCCTACCCCCATCCACAGATTCTGTAGGTTTTTTTTATACTTTGGGACACTGTCTTCACAACAATAATTTCTTTTGAGTTACATGAACACATGAAATAACAAACGCATTTGGTGTTCAGCTTTAATTGTTATACATAAGAGACATAAGGTTAAGAAAAGTTTATAATAATCAAAAAACTCAATCTTCTTCATAGTATTTGGAAGTTTTGAACTATATTAAAACATATTAACTATCATTACTTTTTCATATTTTTACATGTCCAAGAGGAAGTCACAATTGCAGACAAGAATTAATTTTGCTTCTGCTCAAGGTGTATTAGATTTTATTATTGATACTTGAATGCTTATTGTGTAACTTACCTGAATGATCACGGTTCAAAATTTGGCAGGAGAGTGTCAAAATATAGATTGTGGAAATGGATACTTCTTGATTGACAGAAGTACAGTTGTGACCTTCCCTTGAGAGAGAAGTGTAATGGAATTGAAATGCTATGAGGAGAAATTATAATATCTAATAATTATTTGATCACCTGGTAGAAAAATATTGGTGTTTGTAGAGAGCAGAACAGTTATACTGTATGTAGTATCAGATTTAATGGAAATTCCAGTATAAGATCTGAAGATGCTTCAACCAATCTAGACAAGAGTGACATTATTTTGAGAAGGGGATAAGCTTTGGCTACTGTATCACGAGGTAGGGATGAGATGGGCACAATATAACATAATTTGACCAATATCATTCCCTAGCTCTTCCCTCTTCCCTCCCCTCATCCCACCCCCTGGTCCCTTTCCTTGACTGATCTCCCTTTGATTTTCACAGGTCCCTACCCCTCACCTGTCTTTTCTTGTTTCCTCTCCAGCTTCCGCATATGAGGGAAAACATGTGGCTCTTGACTTTGAGTCTGGCTTATTTCACTTACTATAGTGTCCTCAAGTTTCATCAATTTTTTCCTGCAAATGACATAATTTCATTTTTCTTTATGGCTGAATAAGACTCCACCGTGTATATGTATATAGACGACATTTTCTTTTTCTATTCATTTGTTGACAGACACCTAGGCTGCAGATTCAATGGTTGTTAAATTAAGAAGGGAGTCTGGGTTGGTGAGATTACCAGTCACACACACAGCAGTTTGACATGACTTCCTTGCTGAACCAGGAAGCCTCTGTTTCCTCTTCAGGGGCAGCAGCAGCTTGGAGCTCAGTAGTACCTCCCTCACCCTGTCAGGCTCCCCTCCCAGTGCAGATCCCTGGAGTCAAAGAAGAATTTCTTCTGAAGGAAGAAGGCAAACATGGTGCTGCCCAGGCTGCTGAAGCTGCTTATGACATTGATGTGGCTGGGTAAGGACAATGCCTGTGAGAAGGGGCCTACTTTGTGACCTAGGGACTGGAGGACAGGGTAGCCTTAAGGGACTGTGGGAGGGAGGGTTAGCAGGGTGTAAAAATACACTTTTTTGTCCCAACCACTTATCCCTCAACTTTCTGTCCTTTTCCCTTCAGGATCCAGTTTTGCCCAGAAGGTGACTCAGGCCCAGCCAGCCATGTGGGTGCAGGAGAAGGAGGCTGTGAGCCTGCTCTGCTCCTATGACACCAGTGAGACAAGTTATGGTCTCCTCTGGTACAAGCAGCCCAGCAGTGGTCAGATGGTCTTCCTCATCCTTCAGACCTCTTACAGCCAGCAAAATGCCACAGAAGGTCGCTACTCAGTGAATTTCCAGAAGGCAAGCAAATCCATCCAGCTTGTCATCTCAGCCTCACAGCTGGGGGACTCAGCAGTGTATTTCTGTGCACTGAGAGAGGGCACAGTGGGAGGACTGTTGGAGGGAGGTGCACAAAAACCCAGGGTCTGCCTGAGACAGCCACCTGCTGGAGGGACCAAGGCAGGGAGTGGGCACCCCAGACAGGAAGTGGCCAGGGCTGTGACAGTTTGTCTGGGGTTGGAGGGAAAACACTCTGAAGAAACCCTCTCTAGGTTCATAGATCACATCAGAGTTATCACTAAAAAACCAGCCATATTGTTGAATCTTTGTAGTAAAGTTGTTTTAATGGAGAGTTATTGAACACAAAGAAAATGTGTATAATATCTATATCTTGACTTTGAGTCTGGCTTATTTCACTTACTATAGTGTTCTCAAGTTCCACCAATTTTTTCCTGCAAATGACATAATTTCATTTTTCTTTATGGCTGAATAAGACTCTACTGTGTATATGTATATAGACCACATTTAATTTTTCTATTCATTTGTTGACAGAAGATTAAAAAGGAAGAATAAGCACAATAAAAAAATTTGTCATTTGTCATTTGGATATAAAATTTAGCTCAAAGAATTGGCTAATTAGTTCAGAAAAAATAACTGTAAAATCAATGAATACTTCTATGAATTTTTGGTTCAGCTTATCAAATAATTATTTATTGAATTACTATTGTGTATTAGGCATTGTTTTAAATTGGGAAGGTATCAGAATTTCTCTTTAGTTTCCTTTAAAAACTATCATTTTGTTTTATACTATTTCACATATTTGTTTGATTCAACTTCATTTGCTCTAAGTGATACAGTTACTCTCTAGAGGTGCCTACTATGTGACATCCTTCACACTCAGAGTTTGTTCCATTGTCTTGACCCTTCTAGTGTAAAGTGCTCAGTTTACATACTGAAGGGTTCCCTGCCCATCCCTGTCTTATCCACAGAGTGAATGACAGTACCTGCTCTTCTAAGGTCACGTGGAGATCTGTTTCCACGTGCTTTATTTGATTCTACTGCTCTTTTTGTTTAATTCTATAACAATCTCAGGAAGTAGTTTTATAGTAAATTTTACTGCCTTTTAGGGCAAATCACTCCTTAGTAGTAGCCTTTTAAGAAATTCTTAGACATTTATTTTTCAATATAGATATTATTTCAATATAGATATTATACACATTTTCTTTGTGTTCAATAACTCTCCATTAAAACAAGTGAAAAAACAAATAAAACAAAAACTTGTTGAAAACCAAAACATGGAATAACTTTAATAAATATATTAACATATACGATATCAACTTATTAGTTTTTTTTTAATTCAGGAGAAAGCTACTTTCTCAATTCATAAAGGACCTTTTATGTACTTCAATTATTTTGAAGTCTCTTATCTGAATCTTCAATTGAATTTTTCTAAATTTATTGTTACATATTTGTCTGTGTAATTACAGTTTCAATTGAATTTTCTTTTATATATTCATTATTGCTGATTCAAAGTAAAACCACTCAAACAACAAAGTTGTCTCTGCTCATCCTTGCAAAGTACAAGCAATACCTATTTTAAAAAAATCACATTGTTTATACACATAAGAGTTTCTAAATTTTGAAATTGAAATATAAACTTACTATTAATCATTATACTTTATTTTCAAAATTTTAATCTCTTATATATGACAACAGAATGCATACAATCCATATTACACATATAGAGCACAATTTTTCATATCTCTGGTTGTACCTAAAGTATAGTCACACATTCGTGTCTTCATACATGTACTTAGGGTAATGATGTCTATCTCATTTCACTGTCTTTTCTACCCCTCCACACCCTTCCTTCCCCTCCCTCCCCTTTTCCCCCTTTGCCCTACTAGAGTTCATTTAATCCTCCCATCTCCCCTTCCCTGCAACATATTATGAATCAGCACTCTTAAATCAGGGAAATCATTCAGCATTTGTTTCTTTTTTTTGGGGGGGGGGATTGGCGAACTTCACTTAGCATTATATTCTCCAGCTCCATATATTTACCATGATTTTATTCTCTTTTAATGTTGAATAATATTCCATTGTGTATATATACCACATTTTCTTTATCCATTCATCTACTGAAGGGCATCTAGGTTGGTTCTACAGTTTAGCTATTATGAATTGTGCTGCTATTAACATTGATGTGGCTGTGTCTCTGTAGTATGCTGATTTAAAGTCCTTTGGGTATAGACCAAGGAGTGGGATAACTGTATCAAATGGTGGTTCCATTCCCAGTTTTCCAAGGATTCTCCATACTGCTTTCCATATTGGCTGCACCAATTTGCAGTCCCACCAGCAATCCAGCAATGTATGAGTGTGCCTTTCCCCTCACATCCCTGCCAACACTTACTGTTGTTTGTATTCTTAATAGCTGACATTTTGACTGGAGTGAGAAGAAATCTTAAGAGTTGTTTTGATTTGCATTTCTCTAATTGCTAGCAATGATGAACATTTTTTCATATATTTGTTGATTGATTGTATATCTTCTTCTGAGAAGTATCTGTTCAGTTCCTTGGCCCATTATTGATTGGGTTATTTGTTTTTTTGTAGTTAAGATATTTTGAGTTCTTAATATATTCTAGAGATTAGTGCTCGATTTGACATGCATGTGGTAAAACATTTGTTCCTAATTAGTAGGCTCTCTATTCACCTCACTGATTTTTTCTTTTGCTGAGAAGCTTTTTAGTTTGAATCAATCCATTTATTAATTCTTGATATTAATTCTTGTGGAATAGAAGTCTTATTAGGAAAGTTGGGCCTGGCTGCTGAGCATGTGCCTCTGGGATTCATTCTAGTTTCAGCACAGTTTATGGGTGTGCCACAGTGTTTCTCTGGTTGATGCAAAATCAAACAAATGTGCAGAGCAGAAGAATAATAAATGGACACCCCAAACTCAGCTCTTCATCAGTCAAAATGAAGACAGAGACTGACAGCATTAGTTCCTCATGCAGGGTGAAAGTAATTTCAATGTAAAACCACTCAAACAACAAAGTGGTCTCTGCTCATCCATGCCAAAAAAGCCCAGACCTTACATGTTTTTCCAGATCACCCTGGTAGACATTGCTGTGGCTCCTTATATTTTTAGAAGACAAATGTGCCAGAGGAGGTGGCATTTGCATAAGGTCTCCCTAACAGAGTGTGGAAGGAGAGGTGATAGAAGAACTAGAGGCCCCACTCCCAAAATATACAAGGGTTAATAGAGAAAGGAGAGAAGAGCAGAGGAGAGGGACAGACCTCACAGGCAGCAAAAATGCAGAAAAAGAAAAGGACTTTCATCATTCACCAGAAGGGTTTCTTTTTTGGTAAATCAGATGGTGGACACCAACTGATTTTCAAAAGACAAGAAGGAACACATATGTAATTGAAGAAAACAATTCACATCTAAGTGCTGAGTAGCCCTGGCCAGTTACATAGAACAGCTGGTTCTCTAACAAGGCCTTGATTTAGGTAGTTTGCAGAGCCAGAGGAAGATTAAGCAGACATATTTATCCTCCATCCTCATGAAACCCCACTAAAAAGACACTAAAACTAAAAAGAACATAAACCCAAAAATCAGAGAAAAGGAGATGATGGCAGTGACATCAACAAAATTTTAGAGGGTGAGAAGTGTATGGAGGGACAAAAGCTGGCATCACAGACCAGGTAAAGGTGAAACCTGGGCTTTGTAGGAGAAGCCACCATGGAGCATCGTATGGGCTTTGTACTATGGTAGGAAGGTTTAACACTCAGAAACACCAATTACCCTCAATTGCTGGTGAAGGAAGTGGTGTGTGTGTGTGTGTGTGTGTGTGTGTGTGTGTGTATGAATATATGTGAAAGGGAGAGGATGGAAAGAGAGGACCTAGTAAGAAAGTGTACAAGTAACAGTGCAACATGCTGTCCACCACAGCCTGCAGAGCAAACAATGCTGTCTTCCCAAACCCAGCAGAAAATTGCAAAGAACTTTCACAAACTGAGAAACAAAATTAATAAAAACAAAAATATGAAAAAGAGGGCTGGGGCTGTAGCTCAGTGGTGGAGCACTTGCCTTGCAGGTGTGAGACCCTGGTTTTGATCCTCAGCACTGAATAAAAATAAATAAATAAATAAAGGAAGAAAGAAAGAAAGAAAGAAGGAAAGAAAGATATTGTGTCCATCTATAACAAAAATTTAAAAAAAATGTTAAAAATAAGAATGTATACAGTCAGTTACTCAATATAGAGGAATAATACAGTATTCAAGAAAACAGGCATATGTAGAGTACTCTGTAGTAAAAAAAAATTGTCTCCTAGTTTCTCTAACTTATAGCATCAGTATGGGAAGAATACCTGTTCCCCATTACCAAGCTACTGCCTTCTGCTTATCAGTTAGACTTACCTTCTGTGTATAAATAATTCATGTAATTGTGAATCAGAAGAAGTTTCATGGAACATAATTAAGTCATTTACATTTTTTTTTATATTTCCCTTTTTACATCTCCTCATTTTAATGTCATTGTCTCTGTCCTTCACATGCCCCTTTGTTCTACCTGTCACCTATTTGCAAACTCCCACCCCATTTTTATTTAAAAGCATAGAAAGCAAGTTTTATATAAAGGATAGAGCAGAGATAGACTTCTCCTGGGAGGAAGAAGGGGATCCAGAGCTGGTATCCAAGGACGTGGGGGTGTCTTGCTCATTTTATAAGACTTAATTTTTTTAAGAGTATTTTTAGGTTCCTGCAAAATTGAGAGGCGGTTATGGAGATTTCTCCCCACCCCTAAGCTTTCCTCTGTCCCCATTATCAACATCCTCCCCAGAGTGTACACTAGTTACAGCTGAGGAGCTGATGAACATTCACACATCCCAGTCACCCAAAGTCCATGGTTTATGTTAGGGATCATCTCAGGTGTTTTATTTTGTATGGGTTTGGTCAAATGTATAATGACGTATATCTACCATCATAGTATAGTACAGGGTATTAGAAAGTATTCCCATAAACATCCTGTGTGCTCTACCTATTCACTTCCATTCCCAGCCCAAATTCTGGCACCCACTGTTCTTTCTACAGTCTCCATGGTTTGCCTTTTCCAGATCGTCATTTATTTGGAATCATAAAGTATGTAATCTTCTTAGATTGACTTCCTTCACTTGGTAATATGCATTTAAGTTTTCTCCATGTCTTTCATGACTTGATAGCTCATTTCTTTTGGTGCTGGATAATATTCCATTTTCTGGATATATACCACGGTTTATCCATTCATCTCCAGCGTGGCATATTGATTGCTCTGAAATTTTGGCAATTTAATAAAGATGTTGTAAACATTCCCATGCAGATATTGGTGTGGACATATGTTTTCAATTACTTCAAATAAATTCGAAGGACTGTGATTGCTTGATTGTAATGGAAAGAGTATTTAAGAAGCTGCCAAACTGTCTCCCAAAGAGGCTGCACCCTTCCTCATTACGCTAGTATGGATTAGAGTTCTTGTTACTCCACATCCTCACCAGCATTTAGTGCAGCCCTGCCCTGCATTTTGCCCCTGTAATAGGTCTATCAATGGAACTTTATTGTTTTAATTTTCCTTTCCCTGATAGCATGTGATAGGGAATATCTTTTTATATCTTATTTGCCATTCGTATACATTCTTTTGTAGAGTGTTTGTTAAGGTCCATTGTAATGGGTTGTTTTTTATTGCTGAATTTTAAAATTTATTGTATATTTTGGATAATAGGTCTTAATCAGAAGTGTCTTTTGCAATATTTACCCCCTAGTCTATAACTTGTCTTCTCATTTTCTCTGCATTGTTTTTCACATAGCACAAGTTTTAATTTTGAATGACATTCAGTTTTCTAATGATTTATTTCATGATTTTGCTTTTGGTGTTGTGTGTAATAGGTGTGGGCATGTGCAAGATCACCTAGGTTTTCTCCTGTGTTGTATTCTTGGAGTTTTGGGGTTTTTATTTTAGTGATATCAATCCTTTCATGAGGAGTTCTAATGACCTAATAGCCTCTTATTTTAGGTGGACCTACTTCTCACCACTGTTGCTTTGAGGATTAAGTTTCCACCACATGAATTTTAGGGAACATGTTCAATCCATGGCTGTATCTCTGACAAATCAGCCATATCTTTGGGCTACAATATCATCACCCATCAACCTTTTACAATTATCTTCTTGCGAAATATAACAAATGCTCACAAAAGCACATAAAAGCTGTAACAATGAATATATATTAGTTTTGTGTATGCAGACTTAAGATCATAATCTATTTATCAATGTTGTCTATAGAGATGTGTTTCTAGTTCTATTAATGTATCAATTTACTTTCAGGAATTAGTTAATGCACTTATAGGGAATGACAATTATAACTTCCTCAGGCAAGCAGTTAGGCTGGAAACCCAGAGAACAGTTGATTTTACAGTTTAGGTTTGAAGACTGTCTGGAGACAGAATTTCTCTTAAGACCTTCAGCTGATAGATGGGGAACACCTACACCATAAATTGTAATCTGCTTTACTCAAAGTTTATTAGTTTAAATGTTGATATCCCTTAAGAATGTCATCTCAGTGACATCTAGACAAGTTGTAGAACAAATATTTGGGCAGTGTGGCCTAGCCAAGTGGACACATAAAACCAACCATCACACCTTCTTTACCTCTAGTAATTATCTTCTGAAAGCCTACTTTGTTTTATCTAAATATAATGTACCAGCATTCTTTTGATTCTCAATGGTATATTTTTTTTCCCTTTCTTTAGGAATCAATCTCTTTGTGCACTGAAACTCAAACTTACAGTAAATATCCTCACATATACACTTCCACATGTTCATTGAATTCCTATTTGACTGAGAAAATAGAAATAATAAAATGGGAACTTTCAAAAGCTTCATTACTTGCCACTTAAGAGCATTGTGCTCAAACACTCGTCCTTTCTTCTCCTTAGAATGTAATTGCCTGATTCTCAGCACATATTACTATGCCTGACAAACAGTAAGCCTTTAAAAAGTTGCTAAATGAGTCTTTATTGAATGAATAACTGAAATATGCTACTATCACTTCTAGAAGAAAAATTACTATTCATTCATTTATTCCATAAAAATTCATTAGGTACTCATTTCTTTACAGACCCCATTCTACAAACTGAAGATGCAGTGGAGAACAGAATAGAGGAAAATCCCTTTCCTAAGGAGCTTATGTTTAAGTTAAATGCTTAGTTCATGGTAGCCACTACCATCTGTTTTAAATATTTCAGAAATTGTCAGGTAAGTGTTATCATGTCTATCTTCAGATGAGGAAACTAAAGTTTAACTTTCCTATCCAATATCATAAGGAGACAGAATTCAAACTGAGGTCCTTAAATACATGTCTTAATTGTTAAAATACTGTTCTTATGTAGACATGTAGAGGCTGATATTCCATTTCCTTTTGCAAATGGTGAAGAGGAAACCTGCCAAATATGAATGGTTTTCATGTTATTGCCCTTTTTAAAATTTACATTTGGAAAACAGATTTTTTAGAGATTGATATGCACAAAAAAGTATCTTTTTGTTTTTATTATTTTTGTGTTACTCCCCAGTACCACAGAATGCAGAGCCTTGTACATGCTAGGCAAGTGCTTTACTATTGAACTACCTGCCCAGCCGATGAAAAGCATCTTTAATGGTGGAAGTCTGGTTCTGTTGGGTGTTGAGTACTGTGTTACAGGGCTGGAGCATCTGTCATGCCTCTCAAGTCACCCATATAGAGCCACCATGAAATTGTGAGCAGAGAAACAGTCCCTGACTCCTTACACTTAAGTGAGAGCTCTGCTGTATTATTATGTATTTCATTTTGAAATATTACTATTTATATTCAAAATTTATTCTCTAGGTTCAGAAAATTGAAGGGAAAAATTGTAAGGTGGTGTGATTGTGTTTGGTTTGTAAAGAGTTCTTATTCACTTGATAATATTTGGATAAGAATATGTTGTATTTTATATATCTATGTTATATTAACATGAAATAGAAAATTAGGTTAACTCTATGAGAAAATTAGGTTAACTCTATGTTTCTAATTTTGGAGGTGGGAAAGCAGATTCAGAGGCCTTACACTGTATCCGAGTCACATATCTAGTAAGTGAGAAGTCTGCTGTAAAATCAGATATTCTGACTCCTGCTCATGGATTTTTATCATACTGCCCTGCAAGCAGGTAAGGTTAAAGGGCTTGTTGATTCCATTACTTAATCAGGCTTGGAGGCCTGATCAAAATGTACGTCTACAGAATCAATGGCCTGGGTAAAAAAAATCTGTATGAGTTGTAGAATTATTAAATGTTGCTAAAATATAATTCGTGTCCAGATAGAAAAATGTACAACCACAAGAATGGGAAGTTACACTTTATGTGTGTATAATATGTCAAAATACAGTCTACTGTCATGTATAACTAAAAAGAACAAATAAAAATATTTAAAAAATGTAATCACCATGTCGCCTTGGCTTTGAGATGATTCTCCACAGTGGAAGACATGTCTACCAATCCTGGAAGCTGAGATTGAGCTCCTTTTTTGATTTCTTGAGGGATGTCCATATTTGTGAGTATATTATTCTAAAATGATTATATTTTTATTGACCTCTATTGGTTAATAATGTTAGGAAATGGACATATGTGGTGAGCACAGTTTCCATAGAAATTTAGTATCAGAACAACAACTGTTTTGAAGACACACAATAAAGAATTTGCCTGATGTGTGTAGGTCAATCACATTATCTAGGCATCATTAAAATTTGGCAGAAGAAACTGGTGCCAGATAATTTGTTAGGGATTCAATAACTTTTATTCATTACTGCATTTCTTCAATACTAACAATTACATAGTTTTCATTTTTTTTCATGGTGCTGGAGATCAAACCCAGGACCTGGTACACAATAGGCAAGTGCTCTACCACTGAGCTACATCCCTAGCTATTTTCAATTTTAATTGGTATATATCTAATACAAAATTTATTTTTCTTTGAAAGACTTATTAAATTGTGTCTCTTATAGTTGATGTCATAAATATGAAAACATATGATATTCAAATAGTGACATTTCCTCAACTGAACAAATTTCATTTTCATATTTAAAAATATTAGTTAACCACCTGCTAAGTTCCTGACATTGTTCCAGGTGTAGGAAGAGTGCGGTTCTAGCCCCTGCCATCCACAGTCGTCTAATGATGACTAAACATGTTGGCATTCCGTTGATGATATGTTAAAACTTGCTCAGATGATTTTTTTCAGTGGATCATACAGTAGCCACAATGACTGAATAAGAGAAGGTAAAATTAAATTCATCTTAGAAATGGCATGGCATGGAGTTTCCAAGGAATCTGATGTTCAGGGTAAAACTAAGCTTATGAAAAATACCAACTGTTCTTTAGAATTATGATGGACCATCTGACAGCTAATAAGTGTCTTCAAAACCAAGCCAGAGTGTAAGAGTTCTGACTGGAAATAAAAAGGACAGCGAGTTTTCTCTGGTTGGGGGGAATGATGGCAGAGAATGGAAGAGCAGTGTCTGAGATTAGCGGTCTCTGATGACTTCATGATTATGATATGGTTGGTGCCTGGGAAAGTTTCTGTACAAAGGTGCCTAACTGCTGTGGTAATGCCTTCCATAAGGAGACTGTGCTAGAGTCTTATCTGCCTCAACCTTGATCTCAAAACACTTAGCTCCTGGGAATAAAGAAACTCTCTTGCTAGGCAACCACAATGTTTCACCAAGCTCAGCTGCTCCTGAACCTGTTCATATAACAGTAACTTAAAGAAATGGACTTTCTTGAGAGCTACACAAAGCTCCTACCATTGCACATTGCAACTTAGTATGTATTTGAGGAATAAGCTGCATAATGTTGCTATCTCTGTAAACTGCCTAATGACACAATGAACAATAGTACTAATGATGCCAGTGACTGAATGTAACCTATTGGTATAAATAAAGCCATCATCTTGGACCAGGAGCCATTTTGCCTCTGCACCTTGCTTCTGTCTTCTTTTGATTTCTTTACACCAGAGACAGAGCTACAGTACTGACTGGAGAGAGCAGGTCAACAACCTGCTGAGTTTCCAAACTTGCCCACAAGGGGGTGCATTCTCTCTCTCTCTCTCTTCCTGTTTTACTTCTGAGCTCACAGGCATCCTCTCACTGTGACCTGAACTTTTCTTGTACTGTGAATTCAGGATCCAAGGACTGCAGAGGCTCTAAAAATGAACTTTGCCCCAGGACCAGTGATTGTACTAGTCTTAATGTTTGGTAAGGAAACTGGCACATAGAGCTTAGAGCCTTTGGTTCTACTATGCTGATGCATAATTTTCTCTAAAAGGAGATCATAACTAAGGCAAACTGCACTAAGTTGTTATTTTCTTCTTAGGAGGAAGCAATGGAGACTCGGTGATCCAGACAGAAGAACAAATGACCCTCTCTGAAGGGACTTCCCTGACTGTGAACTGTTCCTATGAAAGCTCACAGTACCCAGCCCTATTCTGGTATGTTCAATACCCTGGAGAAGGTCCACAGCTCCTCTTGAAAGCCTTGAAGGCCAATGATAAGGGAAGCGAGAAAGGTTTTGAAGCCACATACAAGAAAGAAACCACCTCCTTCCACCTGGAGAAAGCCTCTGTCCAAGAGTCAGACTCGGCTGTGTACTACTGTGCTCTGAGTGACACAGTGGCAGAAACTGCAGGGGGAGCTGAGCACAAACTCTGAGCAGTACCCAGGGGCCTGGCTGCTGAGCATTTGCCTCTGGAATCACTTTGGTTTAAGGACCAGGAACTAGTCTACCATTGTAGCCACCTACCAGGCACTGCTATCAAAGGACAAACCAACCCTAAAGACCCAGCAGGAGAACATGAAGTAAGTTTGCCTCACATAGGATTCTTCAGAGGTTAGAGTGGAAACTGTCACCATTTTTCCTCACCTACTCTTGAAACTTATGATTTTAAAAGCATAAAACCTCAAGGGGAATGAAATGATCTATATGTTCATCATTGCATGTAATTTTATCCCCTCACCTTGTCTCAGGTCATGGAGGAAAACACTGTGTAGAAACACAGCTGTGGCTTCTGAGGGTGAAAATGCTTAATGTCTCCATGAGAAGCTCATGATTTCTTAGGGAAGTTTTAGCCCCCAAATAGTAAATTCTAAATAAAAAGAAATTTAAGGAATGAAGGGGGAGTAGGGAGTTCCACATTTGGAAAGATAAGATGAACATTTTTAGTTTCTTTTCGGGAATGTACATGCACACATACAAGGGGAGTTATCCAAAAAAAGGATTACTGATGATGACCAAAAGCCATAGAGATATCTCTGTCCATAATTTCTCAACAAGTTGCCTTTGTATCAGCAAGATAGGACAGATAGGAAGTGTCCAGGATCTGGAGTATAAAAAATTTTACTGAGATGAAATTCTTTCACTGTAGTTTGGTGGGAATCCCAGCTTCCTCAATATCTTTGCATCATTTCTTCCACAGAAGGGGAGGAGTAGCTACATGGAGTGGGAGATGGTGGCCAGGGTTATGAGAGATGAAGGATGGGAAAGAAGAAGAATCTTTGGATTTAATTGCAGATAACTTGATATCTTTGCAAATATTGGAGATTTTCTTTTGTCTTGTCTATTGTAGGTAGTTAATGTATATCAGATTATTGACCCATTAAGGGTGCATTTTGTTTGTGGGAGTTGTTCTTCAGCACAAATAAATGAGAATGAGGGAATGGTGTTCATTATTTTCTGTCTCAGAGTCTGCAGAAGAATGCCACTTGGCAGATTAGGACATTGTCATTGTCACTGAAGGAATATTGTCCATAAATCTCTCATTTTTTATCATTATCCATATTTAGGCTTCCCTTCTATATTTTTAGTATTTTTTCAGAGGACCATATCTGCCTCTTATTAATTAGTTGATTTAATAACTACTCATACAACATAAATAATTTGTGAACATAAGATAAAACAACTTCAAATAGTTCAAATAATATATAGAAAAGACTGATTTCTTTTTGTGAAATATGGAAGACTGAACATGTGTTCACTTCTGTGTCTCTAAAACTCCAACAAGAGGGTATTTAAGGAGGCAAAATTCCATAATCACAAAGACAATGGAAAAGAAGGACATAGGAGATGGAATGCCAGAAATATTTGAAAATTTGAAGCAAAAGTGTAAACATAACAGACTTCAAAGAGCTGAGAAATGTGAAACCAAAGCTTGCAAAAGGGGAATCCAGAATGAAGCCATCCAGGTCCACTGTTGTGCTTGGCCCAGGAACTGGAGGCAACAGACCTTACTTTTGAATACTGGGAGATGAGGATGCTTGGAGAGGTGTCTGGCCTTAAAACAGGAGAACTACATTTCTCAAAAGAAGAAATACAAATGGCCAACAGATATATTAAAAAAAATTCAACATCCCAACAATCAGGGAAATGCAAATCAAAATTACATTGAGATTTCATCTCATTCCAGTTAAAATGGAAAACATCAAGAGTATAAATAATAATGAATGCTGCCAACAATGTGGGGAAAACGTACACTTATACATTGTTGGTGAGACTGAAAATTAGTATAATCACTTTGGAAAGCAGTATGGAGATTCCTAAAAAAACTAGGAATGAAAACACCATATGACCTAGCTCTCCTCCTCCGTGGTATTTATCTAAAAGAACTTAATCAGAGTACCATAGCCATACAGGCACATCAGTGTTTATAGTAGCACAATTCACAATAGCCAAGTTGTGAAACCAGCCCAGGTTCTTGTCAACAGATGAATGGATAAAGAGAATGTGATATGTATATGTGTGTGTGTGTGTATATATATATATATATATATATATATAATGAAATTTAAAACTCAGCCATAAAGAAGATTGAAATTATGTCATCTGTAAAGAGATGGTACTGGAGAACAGCATGCTAAGTTAAATAAGCCGGATTCAGAAAGTTAAGGGTCAAATGTTTTCTTTCATATGTAGAAGCTAGAATGAAATAAGGAAAAAAAAGGATGGGGATCCTATGAAAACAGAAAGGATATCAATGGAGTAGGGGAAGGGGATTGAGGGTGAGGGAGGAGGAACAGGAAAAAGGAGGAAACATGGAATGAAATTAAACAAAATATGCTATGCACATATATGAATACACCACAGTGAATTTCACCTTTATGTATATCTATAAAGCACCAAATAAGAAAAAAACAAATAAACCAAGGAAGGCCAGTAGAGTTGAATAAAAGAAGAGACAAGGGGAGAAAAAGAGGAAATACTAGGGACTGAAACGGAACAAATTATATTTCATGCATGTATGATTATATCAAAATAAATCCATTATTATATATTATAATGCACTAATAAATATTTAAAAATGTATCATAAATATCTATTTATCTTAGCAAATTGATATACTCCTTTATTTAAGCCATGCATCCTATCATATGCGTATAAAAATACTAAGGATGTACACTGTGCAAAACAGGTTTTTGTAGTTATGTCACACCTTTGTGGGTCATATACTTAAGAAAGAAATGGTTTTAATCTGACCAACAGTAATATATATGCAGTTTCTTGGTTCATAGCATTGCAGTTTCTTGGGTTCATAGTTGTGTCTGTTTAAAATCCTGAACTAGATCACTAGGTTTTGTGTGGATCTTAAAAATGAACTAGCAAGGACAAGAAATGTCACAAACTATGAACTACAGGGAGGTAATTACCAATTTAGATATTTCCTTTTTATTAAAATGAGTATATTACATTTCCTGGTTACCTATAAATCACTACCAAGAGAGAGATAAGAATATTCTACTGTAGATAATACCAATGGTAGCAGCACAGTGTGTGCATTGAGGTGTGGTGTGTAGTCCCTGCAGTTAATAAGGAAGGCCCTTCCTTTTGTGGTCTAGAAGAAGCAAGTGGCCCCTGCAAGAACAGTCAGTTTTAAGAAGCCAGAAATCAGGTATGGGAAATGGAAAACCTCACAGGAATAATGGTAGGGAATTAGTGGAGAAAGCAAAACAGTGAGCAATCCTCCCAGCAATCCATGCAGAAGTAATAGTTTCCTTCAAGATGGCTGCATTATGACAAGATTTCAAACTTCAGGACATTTAGTATGAGCTGGAGTCCTCAAAAATTGGAACCCTACTTAGATAGGATAATTTCAGGTGTCACATTGTTCCATGTGCCAGGATCCAAAACTATAACTGTGGGCAAACAGGGAAGTTTTGGAATCTCTCTCCCATACCTTCTGTGTTCCATTATGCCTCAATGCCACCCAGCTGACATCCAGGAGTGAAAAGAGGGGATTCTTGAAATTGAAGCCAAACCTACACATTATTTGCCACTGAAAGACCATGGAGAGGATGGCTGAGACTTACATATGGTAGGGGGCTGAGGGCAGTAGCCATCCTGGGACACTGTCAGTCCCCCTAATTAATCTTTAAGCCATATCCTTGGTCAAGATTGTGGAAATCACCATAAGAAGTGGGGGAAAAAAACCCAAACAACATGAAGAAATGCTGTATTTTGTTGAATGCTTTTTATGCATCTATTGAGATGATCATATAATTCTTATCTTTAAGTCTATTGATTTGATGAATTATATTTACTGATTTCCATGTGTTAAATCAAATTTGCATCTCTGGGATGAATCCCACTTGATGGTGGTGCACTGTCTTTTTGATATGTTTTTGTATTCGATTTGCCAGAATTTTATTGAGAATTTTTGCATTTTTTGTTCATTAGACACATTGGTCTGAAGTTTTCTTTCTTGGATTTATCTTTGCCTGGTTTTGGAATCAGGGTGATATTGACCTCATAGAATGAGTTTGGAAGTGCTCCCTCTTTTTATATTTCCTGAAATAATTTGAGGAGTATTTGTATTAGTTCTTCTTTAAAGGTCATGTAGAACTCGGCTGTGTATCCATCTGGTCTTGGGCTTTTCTTGGTTGGTAGGCTTCTGATGGTGTCTTCTATTTCACTGGTTGAAAATGATCTGTTTAAATGGTGTATATCATTCTGATTCAATTTGGGCAAATCATGCTTTCCATGTTTTCTATTTTACCAGAGTACAAGTTTTTAAAGGAATTTCTAATTATCTTCTGTATTTTTTTAGTGTCTGTTGTGATATTATCTTTTTCATCACGTATGTTAGTAATTTGGGTTTTCTCTCTCCTTCTCTTCATAAGCATGGCTAAGAGTTTGTCCTTTTATTTATTTTTTCAAAAAACCAAGTTTTTGTTTTGTCATTTTTTTCCAATTATTTCTTTTGTTTCAATTTCATTGATATCAACTCTGATTTTAATTATTTCCTGTCTTCGACTGCTTTTGGTGTTCATTTGTTCTTTTTCTAGGACTTTGAGATAAAGATTAGGTCATTTATTTGTTGACTTTTTCTTCTTCGAAGGAATGAACTCCATGCAATGAACTTTCCTCTTAGTATTATCTTCATAGTGTCCAGAGATTTTGATATATTGTATCAATGTTTTCATTTACCTCTAAGAATTTTTAAATCTTCTCCTTGATGTCTTTTGTAACCCATTGTTCATTCAGTAGCATATTATTTAGTGTCCAGGTGTTGGAGTAGTTTTTATTTATTAATTTATCATTTATTTTTAATTTCATTCCATTATGTTCTGATAGAATGCAGGGTAGTATCTCTACTTTTTTGTATTTGCTAAGAGTTGCTTTGTGGCATAACATATGGTCTATTTTAGAGAAGGATCCATGTGATCGTGAGAAGAAAGTGTATTTGCTAGTTGATGGATAATATACTCTTCAGT